GAGTGAGAACATTTGGAAACATTTTTCAAAGATTTATGAAGCTGAAACCGCGCCAGCGACTGAATGCCTATCATTTCATGCTCTAGTTGGATAATGCCTTTGAAAGGCAGATTTTATTATTGGAGAATGTTTGCCAAAATTCTTCTCGCTAGGTATTCCGGCCTGATATTTTAATTACCAAATAATGGGAATTTCATTTAAATAGAGCCGGGGCGCTTTGCAATTGGAGCGATGTTAATGTATTCAGTTTTGTCATGCGAACTATTGCAAAAATGCATCTATTTCACGGTGTAACTGTGCCCATTTTCAATTTCCACCGGCACTTGGAAATGGGAGTTTCAATTTAAAAATGTCATCGGATAATGGGTGAAACCGATATTTTAAATAGCTTGGAAAATCAAATTTACTTTGAGCTTTTTCTTGGCTACAAAGTTCTTTAATCGATGAAACTGAGTCGGAGTTTCCTCCATGTTTTATATGCAATCAAATACCTATGATCCACTTTAAAACCTCTAAGAAACCACTTTGCATTTCCCAAGTGGATTTTTATACGCTCCATGACTAAGAAAATGTTAATGCGGGACAAATTCTTATCTGCGTCGTATATTTTTGCAGTTTGGGCAGGCCTACGAATATCGTTCCTCGTCATTGAAAACTCCTTTTATATCCTTTTCGATAACGTGGCGAATAACCCAACTAGGTAACCTCATAAACGAAAATTTATTGGAAGAAGGCAAGGCAGGCTTTTCGAGGCGACGGATAACATTGCAGTAAATCTTTTGCCCAATGGATGTGTCTATAGAGGTCTCGGCTTTATTGACGTTCCGCCACTGATTTTATCGAAATACTGCATGATTTTCACACGTTTCACTTTATCGAGTGAAACTCTGCTTTACACACACACAAAAAAAAATAATTTTTCACTCACCTCAATCTCTTGAGCGAAAATAAGCCCGAGCTACAGTCGATTGATTCTTCAAACGACGAGGAGAAAAGTGGTGATTTTTCGGGTTGTTAAGGAGTCGTCGATATGAATTTGATCTTAAAATCAAATTAAACTAATTTCCTCAAATGATTTTGTCTGGTGAAAAATTTCTTCTCAACAATGGAGGCTCATTTACGCCCCACCTGAGTGATTTCCAGAATCATAAATAATCAAGCACCTCCTTTAATATTAATGCTTTTTTAAGCAACCGCGGTTGCTTTAGCACTTGAAAAAAGCTTTTTATCGACTAGCGAAGCAAACGCTTCGAAACAGAAATCACATTGACTAATAATAACGACCAACCCAAAACTGACCAATTTTGATTTTCTAATTTTGAGGTTCGTCTGGTCGCTTGCGCTGCCACCAGAAATCTGAAGCTGCCAACCGTGCGGGCTAGCGAAACGTCAGCACCAAATACACTCGAAAATCACCGATTGTTCAAACGATAGCTTCCCAAAGATGGAAAGCTTGAAAGTTTCACTCAAAATTTTGCTAAGTTATCTGGGCAGGAATTCGTTAGCCGGAAAGTTATAACCATCTTTACTAGCCATTAAAGTTGCAAATTATTTCTCGAGAAATTCAGGTGATGCAGGCGGAACGTGACGGCATTTAAATTATTGATGCCAATAAATTATAAGCAGAAGCTGGAGTTTTGTTGCACGAAAAGGTCGGCCTGTTTTAGCAAAAGTTTGCATTTTTAACCGCCAAAGTTGTGCTTGAAACATGACAAATGTGATACTTTGGATGAAATTTTCATAATTTCTAATGCTGCTGATGTTGGCGGAATTGAAGCTAATGGAACCGGGGGCTGAGAGGCTTTGTTATGCTAATGACCCAGATTTTCCAAACCTTCACACTCTCCTCAAAGTGAAAAAATCAATCTTCATTACGCTTTCTTCCATGATTCAGTGAACTTTCTTGCTCTTGAATAAGCAGCGAACTTCCACATATTTTTCTTCATTAGGCTTGGCCAAAATTCACATTTCTGCTGCACAAAATTATTTCAGACGCAATTAATCTCCAACGGGTTTTTATGGTTATTTGAAACACCCTTATCTGTTCAAACGTTGCCTGCCTCTTCCCCCGAGGGTGCACTTTGCCTTCTGACCCTTAACTAAAAAATGCAATTTTTAATTCCAATTCGCTTTACTTTCCGGACATTTAGGGCCTAAGTGGCCGTTTGAAAGCCCCTTGGGTGGTCTTTAAGGGGCATTTCCGGGTTTTCCAATTTCCCCAGATAATCAATTGAACGTTTTTCGACTATTTCGAGCCAGGTTTCATCTGAAGTTCACTATTGGCTTAAATCAACCCTTGCCTCAAGCTTAGCTGAGCTACGGCTATCGAATATCTCAGCTAGTTGCGACGCCTGTTTAAATAAACCGGGAAATAAAAAACACCGCAGACTCTTCGGCTATTTTTTCAGGGCTGCTAATATGTCAAGGACAAAATAAATTCGCTGTAGGGTGGCCAATGAAAACACAATCTGTAACGGTATTATCTGCTTTAGAAAGATTTAGTGCCGTATGCAACCAGCATTTTCATTCGATTCGCTTGACCTATAATTCACTGGTGTGAAACAGAATAACATTATTAAAAGCCGGTGTTTAGTTGTTTATATTTTTGCTCTTATCGTCGAGTGATTAAACTTGTCCAAAACGCCCTAATTTCGAAACATTTCTAAACAGCGGTTGTTCCACCCGAAACCTCCTAACTAAAGCCCCATTTTTGATTATATTGTACTCTGAAGCTTAACCAACTCAGGAGAATTTCCTTTCATATATGCACCTGTTAAATGCCCCCGTTTCATGGAACTTCACCATTAATCCCTTTTAAATAGTGCTTCAACATGAACAGGATGTACTTAACAACTATAAGCGTTATTGGAAATTAGTTTCGCAGCTGTTAGAAGAACGAAGATTGCTCAACGTGGCTTTGGAAGATTGTTACATATTTTGGTTTAATTAGATGCGAAGGTTATTTGCTAGTTTATTAAATATTAACGCTTTTATATTGGTTTTGGGCTTCTTGAAATTAACGGCTTAAAGGTTTCACAACGAAGAACTGCCTTGTTCCACTTTTATAAATCTGCTTAAATTTCCCATTAACCAGCGGCATTTAAGAACATTGTTCTTAAACAAGAAAACACTTGTGCAACAAGAAAACACGTCCAGAAGCAGGCGGATCTGTTTCGATGAAAATGCTTGCTAATGAAGTAAAATCCAATATTCCAGATGCATTTTTGGGGCGCGCAGCGCTATTATGATGAAATTTGATCTCTCTTTAGAGCGGTTTGCGATGCTAATCGATAAAAAGCTTTTTTCAAGTGCTAAAGCGACCGCAGTTGTTTAAAGAGCATTAATATCGAAGCAGGTGCTTAATTAATTATGGTTTCGCAAACACTTCAAGTAGAGCATGAATGAGCCTTCATTGTTGAGGCGAAACCTTTAACGAGACAAAAGCCTTTGAGGAAATTAGTTTTACTTGAGAGTTTAAAATAAAACCCTCGTGCATAATAATCCATCTCTTTACTCACAAGGGAGCTTTTCAGCAATCCCTATCGAGCGAGCGGTCTATAGAACTGGATTATGGCAGCTTAGTGAATTTCTGGATATTTTGCTCAAACAAGTAAACATTCTGTAGAGTCACATTTCTTGAGTTTCTGGTTGTAATTAGCGGAAAATTTCATTTTCCAGAAGCTGCAAAATTTTGAAGAAACTGTTCTGGTATCTTTGAGCTAACTGCTTTGTTACCCCAAAACGCTCTATTAATGTGCTTTGATTTTCCCAACCTGGAAGCGAAACAAGCGTTTTATGTCCTGCTTAAGGAAAACATGGAGATTATTTAGAAATTTAGCATCCATTAGGTCAAGTTGCAGATTTCTCTGGAAAACAATAGGCGATTACATGCTCGAACAAATCTTCTTATTTAATTCAGAGACACAACCCCGAATCTCTCGCAATGAATATTCATCGAAAGTATTTACATATTCACCACCTGCAAAATAATCGGCTATAAATGCTTATTTGTGGACCATTTGCCACATAAAATATTACTTTTGGATTAACAAACAGTCGATAGCGAGGCGAGGGGCTTGTTGTGTTTAGCGAGCGTTTTAACCAACTACTATTTGACCATATTGGGAAAAGTGGCTGGAAAATTGCCAAACAATCTCACAGAGGAGATGAAAACGACGTGAGCGAATTAAAAAACGATGTCGATTATTTAAGAGAAAGTAAAGCAGAAGATTGAAGACGCACTAAATATTAGTAGGTTCTCAAAAAATGGAGCTTTCAATCGATATTGAACCCTGAGAAGCCAGAAAAATTGCCAACAAAGTTCTTGATCAAATTGGGATTATTAGGAGCGTTCCCAATTTGAGCATTGTTTAGGGGGAAATTTGAATAAACCAATAAACTCAGAAATCGTCTGATCGTAAACATGCAGTTCTCTAGCAAAAGATTTGTTCAACAGAGCTGATGTTTCATTACTCTAATGAAAAAAAAAACGATGTAAACTGAAACGACAAAACATATAAGCGCTTCGTTTGCCTGCAAAAATACAAAAGCTTGTGATTTATGTTCACTTGGATTTGATGAAATGTGATTGGAAAGGTTTTTACATTAATTTCTGCAGTCAAATATCTGCTTTTATTAAAATGGAAGTTTACTGCTCGATGACTCATTTCACTGTTGAAAAACTACGCAACTTTATGAGTAATTGAAATCGTCAAAGGTTGCTGATGAAGTTTGAACAAATTTTGTGAGTTTTGAGCTTATTGGCTCTCATCCGCTAGGTTTCGCTTGAAAATAACCCTTACAGACGTTTTTCTGGCAGTTGAATAATGAATGTAAACGCCCAACTGCAATCTCTGTTTAAAAAATCCAGATTTTGTCCAGCTTGAAGATGCAAGTCAATTATGTTTGCGAAACGAGAGGGCAGAAGTCTTCTTACAAACTGAAAAATTCTCGTTTGTTTAGAGTAGAGCTTCTTAATACAGCATGTTTTTCTTTTTCAGTAGCAGCCAAAATGACATGACTTCTTCATCGACGCTCGAAACATCATGTGGCCCACTTTGTCTGCAATCTACCTATTTTTGACTGGGATTCCCTTGATAATTTCCAATGACCGAAGCAGTTCGGAGAACTTTAAGGCCACTGAAACCGGACTTCTGGGCGGATTTGAAGGCTTTTCTGAAACACGTTCGAATGCTAATCTTTCGGGGCCCATTTCGGACGACAATTGTGCCAAGTCGGTGGGAAAGTGTGCTTTAAGTGTTGCTTCTCTTACCCCAACTGAACCATTTAGAGCTGCGAGTGATGGTAAGTTTGGTGTCCTGTGCTTTATATAATTTTTTCCAGCGCTTTCAGCTTGATTGTTTGCTTGAAGGTCGGTTTATTTCAACCTATGCTGATGTTATTTTGCTTAAGGAATAGACCGAGTGAAAATTTCCAGCATCCATTACGGCCAAGGCAAATTGACGCCAATTAATCACAGAAATTAAAATGCCTACAACACGGTTTCTCACTTGCAGAAAGCCTTAATAGGGGTTTTTGTTCCAGCAATATCGCCCAACTTCTCCCGTTCATTTCACTTTGGCGGTTTTCAGCCGTTTTTTCTCAACAGTCGACGTTTATCCGGCCATTTGCGCTCTTTTACGGATCGTCGATGTAACTGCTTTGCGAACTCGTTTGCTATCTGGGTTAATAAGTCCAATTAACTCAATTTCTATGGTTTTTCTCCCGTCACTCGTCTGCTGGCTGTTTGCTTAAAAACCTGCAATTTGAACTAAATAGCGTTCAACAGCGCTGATGTGGAGGAATAATTTTTCTAGATCCAAGACTAGATGCATCTTTTGACAGTTTGCCTGCAAATAAAGCAGCAACGGCGGAAAAATCGCTCCCGGTTGGCGAATAGCTTTTAATCACGCCGTCATCGAGCCATCCAGCATCCAGGCTATTATCATTACTATTCAGGAAAAACGCAAAAAATGGATGTAATAAACGATGTCAAGAAGCTAAACGAGCACAAAACGCTATAGAAGCCTTTGGATCTGCATATATATCAAGGCAACTGAGTGAATCGTTGAGGGATATTATGAACTAAACAGGTTTGAGGCTAAGAATGAGGCCTTTATGACTAGACCAAGAATGTTAGAAGTGCTTGCAGCCTTTGCTCTAACGAGTCTCGGAGTTTGACATGGTTTTATCCTCCTTTGAACGTTTTTTTTCGGAAGACTTGTGCGATGAGAAGAGACCTTAATCGCCTTGCCTGATGAAACGAGCTGTAAAAACTATGCTTCCAATAGCGCAAAAAATCGGAATGGACTTGTCGTCATCGGAATTGTTCACGCTCGAAAAATCACTGGCCTTTTTCCTAATTTGGAAATTGTCATTTAATTCCTTTGTTTGCGAATTGGTGCGTCCTCAGCAGATGGGATTACCCAATCCAGAGCACTGCATGTGGATCTAATAGGATTTTGGCGAAAAATAAATCCATCCCCCAGATATATTGTCTGTAAATAAAAAAGCGATTTTCATGCGCCTGGAGATAAAGTTGTTTTCCAAAACTTCGAAAGCTGCTTGATAAAGTAAACCGTTCGGGGTTGTTCTCTTTTGAGGGCCAATAATAGTTGGCGAAGAGGAAATCGAATTTCCAACTCTTTACCGCTAGTATTAAACTGTTTTGCAGCCTCTAAATAAAACCCTCGAATACTATGGAATAACCCAAGTTTGCCCAATTTAGGTGACAAAGTTTCGCGCTTTTTAAAAGCCGAAGCAAAGACGAAGCGGACAAATTGTGCATTATCGAAATCATATTTAAATCACGTTCGTTTCAGCATCGAGGATGTTAGACTCTTGCTCCATTTACAATTTTGCCATCATCTGAATACCAACATGGAACGTCTTTGTGAATTAAGCCTGGAAAATCATCGTAAAATTGGAACTTTCAAGTGGAGCCGTGAAAGGCTTTTGCGGCTGGTTATTGTGATTTTTCGTTCCATATTCTTTTCATCTTGATGTGGAGGCTTGGAATATTAGTCGCCCCAACTTCAGCCTAACAGCGAAGTTGGTAAATGCAGTTTGGCTCTAATGCTGACTCGTTTTAGCAGCTGTTATTATCATACTAATTGAAAATTTGTGAAGCGTTTTTAGCCCCGAAATTACGGCATCCACAATATGTGCTTGGCTTAGAAGTTGAATTAGTTTAACGCGACCGGAGCTTTTTACCTCAAAAGTCGCTTAATTAACAGTTGACTTGTCCGGCAAATGTCTGAGAAATTAAATTCGAAAATTCTTTAGCTTTATGATTGACATTTTCGCCAAAGTTTCCGCAGCGATTTATTATTGTTCTCAGCAACAGCGTGAAATTCCAGGCCGGAAGTTTCTTTGGAAAGTTAATTCGATTGTTCTACTAATCCGGAAACTCTCAAACCCCCGCGACTTTATGACGCGTTAAAGTTACCAGTATTAAAATGTTGAATGAAATATTCATATCTGTAAGCTGAGAAAGCTCGGCAATAAGTTTGCGAAATGAAAGCCGATAATAAAATTGAAATTTGGATGATGATGATTCTAAGAAAGTTTATAAAGGGAGTGAAGGGATTTAGGCTAATGAGCTCATGCAAGTGCGTCGAGTTTGCCCTTTGAGCAGATCCCTCAGAGCTTATGCGAAGGAGCTCAGATATTTTGGGCTGTCACTGAACTTTTCTACGAAACGTTGGCCCAAAAGCAGGATTAAAGGCGAAGTGAAGTTTGCAATTTCCAATCTAACAGGAAACAAGCTCGATATTGTTAAACTTTCGTAATGTCGTATTACTTTGGGCCCCATATTCTTATGAAACATTTTTTAGTTAAGGATTGCGAAATTTTCTCGCATCAAAGGCAATTTGCCTAAATAATTGCCAATAAACGTTTAGTTATCGTTTCATTGGAACGCGAATTATTGTGCCTGTGAGTAATTTGATTTCAAATGTCCACGATTATTCATGTTCGTTGAAACTCGATGTTCCATCTCATCTAATTGTTTCATTAGCAATTATTGCTCATTTATGTTGGATTGTGCCATTCGCGTTTTTGCGTTAGGGCCACAAACTGTTATTTAGGAATGTTTCAGATTTTGGCTTAAAATTTGGAAACCGGATGAGGTGCTAAGCTCAGGTTTTGCGATTCCGAACGATTCTGGTTTACACGCAAAATGCGAAAGTTCAAGGCTAAAACGGGTTAAAAAAACCCTTTGAGCTTTTAGCTCATATTTAGGGGACCCATTGAGTTGCGAAGCTTTAGTTGTCATTACGGGGTTGAGCTTCAAAATGCGCACTTCTTCATATAAACCCTTTATTTAGGAATGTTTCGAGGTTTTACGCAAAATGCGGAAATTTAAAATAAATGCGGATCTGGATAATCGCTCTTAATATTTGGCTCGCAAGTAGAGAAAAAGTTAAGCTGGAAAGCTCTAGATCTCATTTCCCGATAGAGCTTAAAAGTGCACACTTTTCTATATAAAACGTCGATTTAGGAATGTTTCTAGTTTTCACGCGGAATGTAAAAATTTAGTGCTTATGCGTATTACGAAAACCGCTCCATCCTCTCGTTCATATTTAGAGAAACAATTAAGGTGAAAGGTTTTAGGTTTTATTGCGACAAATAACTTTTAAATAGGCATTTTCTAAATGAAACGTTGGCTTAGAAATGTTTCTCGTTTTCACCCAAAATGCCAAAATTCAAGTCTAATGCAGGTTTTAAAAAATCTGTTTACATTGTGGCTCATATTTAAAGAATCAGTAGCGCTACCATGCTCTAATGGTCATAGAGCTCTATTTGACATATAAAATCGATTTAAGACTGTGTTTATTTTTAAATTTAAATGCGAAATGTAAAATTAATGCGGATTTCAAAAACCCCGTTTGCCTTTGGTTCATATTTGGAGAGCCACTTGAGCTTCAAAGCTCCAATTGCTATTCGGGGATAGAGCGCTAAAATCCTCACGTTTGTATATGAAACATCGACTTACGAATGTTTTTGATGTTTACGCAAAATTGGTATATTAGAGATTTATCTAGTTTTTGAAAAACCCACTTAGTCTTTGGCACATATTGGAAAAACCAGTAGAGCCATAAAACTCTAATTGCCACCCAGAGACAGAGCTTTTAAATATACACCATTCTATAAAAAATATTGAGTCCAGAATGTTTTTAGCTTTGATATAAAATGACGAAATTTAAGATGAATGCGGGTTTCAACAACCGCGCTTAGATAGCGATATTGCGAAAAAATGCTCATTTTTCCAAATTAAACGTTGATTTAGGAATGTTTTAAGTTTTAACGCAAAATGTGAATATTTCGGATTAATGCAGGTCTAAAAATATTCGCCTAGGCTTTGGCCCATATTTAAAGAACTAAACTTCTAATTGCCATTCTGATATAGAGCCTGTAAGTGGGCATTCTTTTATATAAAATATTCATTTAAAAGTGTGTTTAGTTTCCACGTCAAATGGGGAAATAGTCTTTTGCTCATATTTAGAAATCCGTTGAGCTGGAAAGCTCTAATGGTCATTGATAATTTAAAAATATTTCTAGTTTTCACGTGAAAAGCGAAAAATTAAGACTTGCGAGTTTTGAAAGCCACTCCTATTCTTTTGCCTCATGAGTAGAGAACTGGTTAAGCTGCGAAGCTTTATCCTTCATTAATAGAAAAAGCCCTAAAATACCCATGATTCAATATAAAACATCCATTCAGAAATATCTTCAGGTTTGACGTAAAATGGGAAAATTCAAGATTAACGCTGGTTGTGAAATCAGCTCCTAACCTTTAGCTCCTATTTACCTACAGCTCTTTTGAAAAAAAACCGATTAAGAATTTTCGCCTGTTTCAGTAATCTTTACATGCAGTTTAAGAATATGGTTTTTAGATTTAGAGATTTCGGTTAATGTTTTAATTTTTTTTAAATATAGTTGCAGTGTAACCACAATTTTTTATGCTTTCAGAAACCTTCACACCGTCCTCCCATTCGATCATAGGCGAATCTATTAATGCCTCTGAAGCATCAGCAAGCAATGCAGCAATCCATATGGCAACGACAGCAGCACAAGAACCAGCTTTACAGCTAAATCTTGCAAACAAGGTAAATTACTTTGAAAAAGCCTCGTTTTTACACTTTCACTGTTCCACTAAGCCTTCTGTTAACTGTGCTCGATGGTTCAATTTACTAGATCCCTTAAAGTAGCAGATTTTCGCGGATCCTTTCGCGAAGAATTCGCTTTAGAATATCGCCGCTCTCAATTACCCCGAAAATTTCGCCTTTGTAATGGAGCAAGACTGCATTTGCTCTTTAAATCCTTTGCAAATAAATCTCTCAACTGCATGTAAGTTCATTTGGTTTACTGTTCCAAAGAACAAATAGTCGATCTTTGGGTAATTCGTTATGTTCAGTCTGTAGCAGCCGAGTTGGCTTAATTCACTGTTTGTTGGCGAATTTAACTGGACTTGCAAAAATCATTAATCTTGGTACATTCAACAATCAGCAAGTGTATCGATAATTTTCCATCGAAAGAGTCTTCTCTTGCATTATTCGCTAGCTAAATATAGTTTGAGGGTTGACTACATATAAATGTAAAGGTAGGAATTGCTGCGTTTCCTCAAAACTCAAAAGTTGGGAAAGTTTGTATCAAAGCCCCCCAAGACACCTAATTGATACCGGAATAAATCGTTCTTTTATCTGCAGCGCCAAGAAGCTATTAGTTAATCTCCAAAGTGTTTGCCGTGAAAAATTCGATACATCAATTAGTTCGCTAAAACAATATCCCTCGTATTTTATTTCCGCTCTACGATTTTCGATTTCCTAATGAACAATCTATTCGCTGGCTAAACAAAGGGGGTATTTTATTTAGTTTGCCTTGCCTGCTGCTCAATCTACTATAATCAGATAAGAAAGGAAACCCGATTTATCGAAATATTGGAAAAACACTTCGATGGAATTTATTATTTTTTTCGTCGCTGAGCTTGAACTATAGCTCTTTTATTATTTAGTCCAACTTATCATATTTATACAGCCGAGGAACAACACAATCTTTAAGTCGTCGTCGATTATACGGTTGATAGATCAGTTTCTTTATTAGATGACTTTTTATTGCAGTTTTTGGTTCAGCCGGAAGTTCTTGCAGGAAAAATTTCACTGCTTAAGAAGGAAATCGTAAGAAACGTGGACAACTATCGTAGTGAAACGAGCACCCGTGAAACCGAAAAATTAATCGATGGTAAGTGTTGTAAACATTCCCCTAAACTTTATAATTAGTGTCCTTGGAAAACTCAATAGCGGTTTTTTACTTGTTTTTTCTTCACACGTTTACTCTGTTAAGTTAAAGCAGATGCAAATAAGTCACTAAAAAAGCTCAAATGTTCTTTCAGAAGACTGTTATTTCAAAAAAGTTGTTCGGGTTTTTCAATAAAACAATGTGGTTAATGCTGGTGAGAATAATTGTTTAAGAGCTCAAAGAGCTGAATTAAATGGCCACGTAAATGAGATCCTTCGCTGTTTTGAAGTAGGTAACTCAATAAAGTTGATTGGTTCAATTTTCCTCTAGGTTTCTCCGTTTATGGAAATAACCCTATTAAACCCAAACATCCTAAAATAATAGAATTTCATCTTCTTGTCAACAACTTCAACACTAAGGGCAATTATCCGGCGATTTAAGTAGGCGATATTTACATTAAGAGCGTGCTTATTATTTCGCTGTCTCTGTTATCTGGGAAGTACTTCATTTTCCTCCTATTAAATTTCCATCTATATTTTATTATGTAAGTTTCACTCAGTTGTGGCACGTAATTTCATTAGGACTTTGTCACGTTTGGTCGTTTTCTCCAAAGATACCTCAAGTTAATGTAATTAAAATCCCACTTCTAATATGCTTCAGTTGCGTAACTCGTCGGGCTCTTTATCACCTGTTATGTTATTTGCGTGGATTTACACCTTGCATACATGAGGAAATATGAGAAATTTTATAACAACGCGTTTTCACGTGGTTGGAAAACCAGTTTTTTTATTTGATCTGTTCTCGTACAGCCTATTTACGCATGAGTTTGAACACAAAGTGAAGCAAACACATTTAGTACTTTAAGTAAACTCCTGTTCGATATGTTTCCTCAGCTTGGGGAATTATTGTCAATAATTCCCCAGGCGATATCTAGTTAAAGGTAGTCAGTATACGTGACGGAAATATTTCCATTGCTAATACGGCTCCGCCTCAAGAGTAAAGGTTTTTTATTAAAAAGTTTTAGAGACGCCATAAAGCATAACGACATTCGGGTATTGCGAATAAAACCAAAAAGTCTCGGCAAAGTTTCGTTCCGAAATAATGACAGGATGGAAAAAGTGTATTCGTAAATCTCCTCTGAGCGCGTTATGTCGAAAACGTATCCACTTTTTCGGTTTTAAATTGTAATTTTTTTCCTGTCGAATTTCGCCCTTTGATTTATACGAAAATAAAAACCTAGTCACTTTCACGCTCTGATTTTCTGAAATATTGCCACAAGGGAAAAGCTCTCTTCGATGGTGCACACCTCCCGACTTACCCGATATCAGGAGTTCATTTTATATTTCTACCTTTCTTTGATGTTCACGCTTGTCGTCATGCTAAGTTGGCGAGTTTATGAAAAAAACCCCGTCGCAAATCATTCAAAGAAAAAACCGTTTCCAGACGTATTGCCGAGTAAAGCTCCTTCCATTCCACCACTTCTGTCCGTTAAAGCGGCAGGAGTTGCAGATAATTGCACAAAAAGCAGCTCCACCACTGAAACCATGGATGGCTTCTCAACAACTTCGTTCTCAGCCTCAACTTCCACCGATCTGATTACACCAAACTATGAAATTTCGCAGGAAAGTTCTCTTGCTGCTACAACTTTCGCCATGGCCATTCTGAATGAGTCAACAGGAAATGGGAGCATTAATAAGGTAAGTTCTTGAAATGCTGCGGAAACTCGTTTGCTTTGATTGGCATGCTTGTTGTTGTTATACATTTAACTGGAAGTCCGAAGTTTATCGGCAACTTCCAGAGCTGCAAACTGAATGCATTTAAGTTGACCGTGCGATACCTGCTCTACATGGAATATTTAACTCGGAGGAAATTTCTGCTCTGGTTTCATTGGCCTTGTGTGTTAATCATCAAAATATTTGGGACGAAATTTTGAAAGCTTTCTAAAAAAATAAAATGTCTCAAAATACATAGAGCTTTACACCATTTTTTTTATTTATCCAAAGGAACCGCGGAATACAACGAGCTCATTAAAAAACACTTTTCAACTTTCAAATCCGAAATAATCGACATTTTATGGGACTTTGAAGCGTTTTGCGCGGTTACAATTTTCAACCGACGCTATTTTCCTCATTACATACCCAAAAATTGTATATATTTATAGTATGGGGCTGCTTACGTCCATACGCAAAAAGCACGTATGTAAATTTTTGCTTTTTGACCGAAATTTTCATAAGCTGGAAGGGTCGATTTTTTCGAAAAATATAAAATGTTTCAAAATGCCTCGAATTTTACACTATTTTGATCAAAAGGAAGCGCGGAATGCAACAAGCTCATTAAAAAGCACGTTCCAGCTTTCAAACCCGACATAATTGGCACTTTCTGGCAATTTGAGTCGTTTTTAGCGGTTACGAGTTAATTTTCCGATATTTTCCTTATCACAGACCCAAAAATTGTATATCTGTATATTAGGAGTCTGCTTACACCCGGCATAATCTAATAAGCGCAAAAAACACGCATGTAAATTTTTGATTTTTGACCGAAATTTTCATAAGCTTTTTTTTAAGGTTAATTTTTTTGAAAAATATAAAATGTTTCAAAATGCCTCGAATTTTACACTATTTTKATCAAAAGGAAGCGCGGAATGCAACGAGCTCATTAAAAAGCACGTTCCAGCTTTCAAACCCGAAATAATTGGCACTTTCTGGCAATTTGAGTCGTTTTTAGCGGTTACGACTTAATTTTCCGATATTTTTCTTATCACAGACTATTCCTTCCTACTATTCCAAAAATTGTATAGCTGTATATTAGGAGTCTGCTTACACCCGGAATAATCTAATAAGCGCAAAAAACACGCATGTAAATTTTTGCGTTTTGACCGATATTTTCATAAGGGAGGAGGGTTGATTTTTTCAAAAAATATAAAATGTCTTAAAACGCCTTGAATTTTACACCAGTTTAATCGGAATGAAACGTGGAATGCAACGAGCTCATCAGAAAACAAGCTCTATTTTACAGATCCTAAATAATTGACATTTTCTGTCCATTTGAGGCATTTTTGCGCTTCTTACCCGGGAAGCAATCCAATGAGCGCAAAAAACACGTTTCAAAAATTTGTAATTTTCACCGAAAATTTGATAAGGGGGGAAGTAAGGGATCAATTTGCGCAAGAAAATTCAAGTCTCTTAAAATGCCCGGATTTTACACGATTTTTTTCATAAATATGCAAAAAAATCTCAAAATCTTAAACCCTTCTTCAAATCTCAAATTTCTGTCTAATGTAAAAAAAACAATTTAAAAGTAATTTAATGCTTCGAAGGAGCACAAAAACTTCCAAATAATAAATACAATAATATAAAAGTCAAATGACTCCAGCTCCAACGAGAGGATTATTAAGACCTGAAAGATAATAAATCAAGCTACTCAGATTTTATGTGCTGCTTCGTATTAAGATAAACTTCCACAGACTTTGTTGTTGACTTGAATATGAAAATAATATAAGAATTGCGTACGGATTTATTGGGCTTTGAAGAAACAGCGCAATAAAACGAAAAACTGGCACAATTCACTACACAGACCCATATTAAGCATGGTTTCAATTCAATGGATCACTCCCAGCAACCAGTAGCCATGAAGGCATTTGTCCGCAAATTGATGTTTTTAATGCAACGAAACCAGATTTTCCTCAGCACTTAAAGACACCGAACACTGAGCAAAATTATACCATTATGTGGAAAATCCCGTCCATTAATCTCTTTTTTTAGGTGTTTGGTTCGTTCTAAAAATCTCGAAAGATTAATGCTTGTCGAGTCCACTGCAACTCAAATGCTTTTCATTTAAAGTAAATGTTGCCTCATGCATGCATCTCTGATTTATTGCCTTTATTTAAAACTACCTTGGCTTATTTCACATGCATTCAATGGAAAAAATATGAAAAAAACGGAAACAGCTTGGTTGGATAAGCCAAAGGAAAACAGTGGCTGTAAAAAGCGACAGTTATTGGGAAAATAACAACAACAGGCGAGTTTAAGCAATTTGATTGAAAACGTTCTTGTTTTTTTACTCAATGAATGATAAATTAGCTTTTGTACCTGCTCGCAATTGAGTATAATAATAAATATCAAAACAAAATCCACCTGTACACGATTTCGCAGTTAAAGTTCAAACAATCTGGTATTTTATATGCAAATAAATCGGTTTGATCAGTAAACGAGTTCAGCGGACATTTAAATAAAATAATTGAAACAAAGGATTCCATTAGTGTTATTCGTTGCTGGCTTTGCCCAGTTTTACCTTTGTATTCTCGCATAAAATATTCGTGAAACTTTTGCAAAATGAAAACTGCGGGTGCGTCCCATATTTGATTGCTTACCTTGTTTGTTGTTGTTTTTATCTGAGAAAATCTCCTGGAAAGCCATTTAGGCTTGAAACTGATAAATCTATTTGTGTTTTTGTGAATTCCGCAGTTGAAGCCATTCAAGTGGCAAATAAAATCCATTGATTTTTAACCCTGAGTGCAAAATAAAATGAGAGAATGCATTTAGTGTCGCCGACCTGAAAGACATTTTCCATTAGCGATGCCTGGTGTTTTATCAGGGTTCAAATACAATTAAGGTTTACGAGGTTTGTACTCCATTTACTGATTTTACAGTCAAAGATCCGACATTTTACAACGGTGTGGTGATTGCAATCAGGAAAATTTACACACAAATGTTCGACTGAAGATAATTTATTCATAAATAACTGAATATGCGCTCATTGTAGCATAATAAAATTCAGATTTCTGATTATTACGCAATTGATTCAATGGAATGGAGGTAAAAGGAGCTCAAGCCAGTCGGTTTAGAAATTTCCCAGGCATTGAAAAACTTGGGCAATTGCATGACTTTTGAGAGAATATGGGAAAAAGTAAATTGGAAAAGTTGAAAAACTGACTGTTGTGTTCTTTTAGTGCAGATAGTTGGAGCGTTGGCAATTTAATTATAAAATTCGACCGCATTTGCGACACATACATTTGGTTTGAGCCGATTGTTGGGGAAAAGCTTTTGATCAAATGCCTCAGTAAAGTCATGCTGGTGAAAGTTGTGATTTGGGCTTTGAGTTACGCAGTTATTGCAATAGTGAAACATTTAACTGAATATATCTGAGACCGGCGCTATGAAAATGGGTTCAATTACTATTAAATTAAAATTTAAATGAAGCATACATTGGCCCAATCTATTATTCAGCGATTAATTTCCATTAGTGGAACTGGATTATTAATAATCGCATAAATCAGCAACCAAAAGCTTAGTGGAATCGGCGATATAAATTGGGCAATTAATATTTCGTGTCTAAAACTAATAGCAAATAATACATTTTGAATGAGGCAAATATATTAATTCTGAATGAAACCAAATTGGAAAACCAAAACCCACTAACACGTAGATTCAATTAATCGCGCTAATTTTATTAATATTATTTGCTCGTTAAAGACCTGCAGAGCAAGTGCTCGTTTTACCCGTAACAGTTAGTTTTCAAAATAGCTAATAGCTGAAGTAGTTTCGAAAACTTCCGGGTAATCGTCGCTTTATTGCCGTAATTTAAGACAGTGGACCTTAATTGCGACCAGCGTCTGGTTTTGATAATTAATTCTACAACTTTTACACCCTCTTAAACGTTGGTTATTGAATGACAAACTTGTTTAAACTTCTGGAAAAGGGACGATCAAAATTGCGGAACTTCTTAAGGGAACCTGCGAGTTTCCTTTACTTTCATTATAACGCGGCCTAAAACCTTGTTAAACTTTACTAACAAAGTTTATTGCTGCTTGTGCTGATTTTCTGTTGTTTTTGTATTTTGCACAGCAGTTAAACATGGAATTAGTTTCAACTTTGGTTTTTGCCTCAAACTGTCTCATTGCCATAAACTATTACGGTAAAATCGCAAGATGGAATTACGAAATTCCTATCCCTGATCAGTCGGAATAGGGAAACGCTCTAATTTCGGTCACAAAAAAAGAACAACTTCATCTCCATTTTTGCTCTGCAATTAGCCATGAAGCTCATGCACTCTTTTGTAATGTATGAGAATATTCTTTTATGTGTACTTCTAAAGAACTGTGTGGCTTTTCAGTGCTTCGCTCGATGGGAAATTATGAGTATAAAAAGCGGAAACTGTATGAAAGCATGCTTTGCTTGCCGTGCTCGGGTTGTGCTTGCACGGCAAAAAATAATCCAAAAGCTGAAGATTTTTTCAGTTTTTTACAAACTTCTTTTTGGGTATTTCGCCTCAAAAATGTTTGTCTTTAAAAAAGACAGAATTTCCT